TAACAGCAGAGTAGCGCCACCCCTGCAATGACACCAATTATGACGTAAAAAGCCCAAGGCTAAATCAGCCACTTCCACTGTATACAACCACCACAAAATAGTCCAAAAACAAAAAATATTGAACCAAAATCGAATGAATCGAACAAAAAAATTGAACCAAGAGATTGGTGTCCACCATTGATGTCTGTGCTACACTCCCAGCCAACTCAAATGGCAATGAGGGTTGATCTACCGAAATGGATATCGATGGTGATGGTGTGAAGGAAAAAGGGGAGGCGGGTGTTGGTGGTTAATCGGTGAATGATAAAGTGGGTGATCTAGTCATGAAAAGGAGAGGTGGGTAGTGGTGGCCGACGTCTGTTGACTGGGAAGTGGGTGACCGTGGCTCTCATGGCCCTTATGGGTCATCATGGTTGGTAATGGTGATCGTCATGGATGGTCGAATTGAGAGAGAGAGAGAGAGATATGGAAGTTTGAGTAGAGAGAGGAAGCGAGTTGAGGGGTTTTTTTTGGTTTTTTTAGCACAGACAGTAGAGCATGCACGCTAGCTATACGGCTGTTGAATTGGATGGAAAACGTCACAATACATTTTAGCCCATTAACCACCTGGGGCTATGTGCTATTTTAGAAGGATAGAGAGGTGATATGTACATTAAACCACAAGGAGGAAAAATGAAATTTGCCTCAGATCCTCTGGCTGTGAGTAGGGTATGTAAATGAATTAAAGTTTGATCCCAATCCAAATTGGATTAACCAAATATGGATCAAAATTTGAATTTAGATATATTTATATTCAATTTGATTATTTTTAAATAAATATTAAATAAATTAAGTAATTATTAGTTGAAATATAACTGTAATATGTTAAATTTTAGTTAAATTAAGTTATTCGAATCCGATCGAATTTCAGATTCACTAGCTAATTAAATGATATTTGGATCAGACTTTTAAAAATTAAATTCAGATTTAGATATGCTAAAATTTGATCTAAATTCGATCCGTTGACGGGCCTAACTACGAATTAGGCTTTGGTATTATCATCCATCTCATTTAATTCTTTTATTTCAAATTATTAAACTTCTCACATTTATACCAACCCTATATTAATAACTAGTTCACCCTTTTATAAATAGGTCAGTATATACGAGGTGAGTTTAGTAACTATAGATATAAATACGGTAGACTTTGAAATTTAAAATTAGCAAGTCAAATGAGGTGGAGAAAGACATTTAAGAAATGAGAATAGCAATAAGATATATTTAAAAAATAGAAAACCTGAAACTGATAAAGTAGTACCAATGTCAAAACATCACTTCATATATTAAAAATGAAGCAATGTTACTTGAATCTAATTTACTGATCTAATGTATCATAACCATTTGGTTGACAATGGATCCCAGTATTTTTTAGAATTTGTTTATGTTTTTTACAATAAAACATAATTAGAGATTTTTTTTTGATCAGTGACAAACTCCAACACTTATACTTAAAAAGCAGAAGTGCCAAACATGGTGTTTTTAGTAACTCAACATGCTCTGTTAGCAACACACAGCAGAGGACCAGCATCAGAAGTTAAGCTTGGAACTAATGATCCTTGAGCAACTGGAAATGATTGAGATCTAGAGTATGGTGGAGCACAACTTCCCCATCCTGATGGAAGAAAATAAGCTCCATTAACAAACACATCCTTGGAGGACCTCCACTTCCAGTTCTTCCAAATCTGTTCAGCTCCAGTTTCTCTTTTGGTAACCTGCCACACAAAGTAACACCATAAATGTACTTTTATAAGTGTGTCGATTAAGTTGTATCGTATTTTATTTCAATCACATCATTTTGAGTTAGTATCATTTTCGTACCATGCATGTTTGTAAAACCCATACGCTTTTCTTACAATACCAACTAAACATTTTATCCGTGTGTAGCACTAATTTAATACATTTGTTATTCATGTAAATTGATTGTTTTATTTTGAGTTCATGTCGTGTTCGTGCTGACGGACATTTCTAGTACTTTATTCTGGATGATCTTAATGCAAGACTGAATAGTATCTAACCTGTTTTGTGTAAGGATCATTTGAAGCCACAAAGTAATTCCCTTCACTAAATATAGTTGGATCAGAGCTCCCACCAATTGCATACATGAGCCACTGGTCATACTTGTTGTTGGCAACATGAGCATAGCCATACCTAACCCTGTAAATCATCGAATCGATAGATATCAACCTGTAACTTTTAGGGTTGTTAATAAGTTTGAACTGAACTACACACCCCCTCCCCCACCCCCAAAAAAAAAAAAAAAAAAACCAAACCAAAAAAAAAAGTTCCACAGAAATTAAGCCATTTTACCTTGGCATCCTTTGAACCAGACCAGGTCCAAAATGATTGAAGACGAGAGTAACTTTCATGGTTTTGTCTGCTGTATAGCCATCTCGATGCCCAAGCAGCATCACCTAGAAGTGCAAATCAATCAGAACACATTTTCCAAAGCCACACTGGTATTCTCATTTACATATATGTATACATGTTCACGAGTTTAATGAACTGAACAAATCACTGCTCGGGCTATGCTAGCTCTTTTATTAAACTGGCTTTAAAATTAAGCTCAAGCTTTGTTCGTTTGATAAATAAAGGAAGTTGAAAAAACTTCTATACGATCTGGAGTTATACACTAAGAACTTGTTTTATTTGCAGCCCTATTTGTGATCTAATTAGTCATGCAGAGATTTTTCCTACACTTACTTTGTCATGCTGAGTGAAATAGTTGTTAGAGACTGTGACGGCAGTTGAAGCATGAGTGATGTCAATAAGACCATCAAAACACCTAGCAAGATAGCAGTGATCAATCCAAATATTCGAAGCCGCAAATACAGTAATGGCGTCTCCATCGGAGCCAAGGCGATGGCCGATGTGCTCGGGAGTGCTTCGGACAAGGCCGGGTGTCCCAGGCTTGCAGTCGTGAATGCTAATCCCATGTATAATAACATTGCTCACACCTTCCACAGTAATGCATGGTCCATTTGTAATCTCAACCTTCACACCCCTCCCATCTATGGTCTTGTAACTGTTCATCATAAGCTCATTTTTGAGTGTAATCACCATGTTCCTCTCAAAAATGATCCAAAGTGGTTCAAATTGGATTGCACCATATCTAAGTGTGCCTCGTTTTGGATTTATCGGGTCATCAGAAGGGTCGGTGACAACGTATATTGCACCTGTCTTCCCCCCAATAGCCCCATTGCCGAATCCTATTGCACACTCGGCCAATGCTTTCCGGTTAGACGCCCAATTCGGATTTGAACGCCAACAAGCGTCTATTGTGTTCATAATTTTCTTGTGAAGTTGAGGGTACCCAGGAAGATACGTTGGGGTCGTTGTTTTGGGTGTATAAACTAATGGGTGAGCATGCGAGGATGAAGAACAATATGCTACGAACCATGAAAGCAATAGGAGAGGAGTTGGGTATGCCATGGCTTGAGGGTTGAGGTTTAGGACATAGGAAGAAGACATAATAAATAGAAGATGAGAATGTGGTGGCCATGTTTGGGACTGTAGACTTGTTTGAGTTTGTTGTTTGGTAAGATTTTGTAGCTTCATCAAGACGTGTATGCACGAGCTAATGTAATGTGGACTTTAGAGGTTTTAGGCCTAACACTCTTTACTTTAAGAGCAATGTTAAATGTACTTAATTTGAGGGACTAATCAGAGAGCTAGTTCAATATAGTCGTTGAATTTGTTGAAAGTTCAATATTAAATGAAAGTCACTTTTAATCAAATGATTGTTTTGAATTAGTTCCCCAAATTAGATTCAAATGACATTTTCTTTAGAGTCGACTTCATCTAACATTAAAGTTTATTATTAATCCAATGATTGCCCTGATTACGTTCTCAAATTAGGCATGCTTGAAATTAAATTAGAGCAAAGACAACCATGTACATTGTCATGTAGACAACTATCTGGTTTGCTAAAATCACTTCATATTTCTTCAACGTTGAAATTATATTTATCCTAATGAGAATTATGAGTTAGACAGAGAGAGGTAGATACTGATTTGTGAGTTTTTTAGTGATTAGTTTGGTAGATGGTTTCTGTCATAGACTTTTTAATCTCTCTCTCTCTCTCTCTCTCAAACACACCCACACCCCACAACACAACACCCCACCATCCCAGGAGGTGTGTGGCGCTGTGGTTGGAGGTAGTGATCTCCCAGTGACGGTGTTAGGCTTTGGAGGTGGGGCACCAATGGTGACGTGGCAATATATATATTTTTTTTTGGTGTAATTTGATAATTAACTAACAAATTTAAGTATTATGACAAGTAATAGATAAACTGCAGTCCGAAGGCAGGGTGAGAAAGGGTTTAGTTAATGGAGATATTAACTCTTCTAAGAACCACCAACACAAAAACCATGTCAAACAAAGACCGATCAATATCCAAACCAAATGGATTCGAACTTCTCCTAGAATAATTTTCCATACCAAATGAAATTCATAAGATATATATATGAGTAATTCAAAGGAGAAATATAAATATTTGATTGGATTCGATAGGACTACTACCAAAAAAAAAATTCTATCTTTTGAAGTACTGAAAATTTGTAATTGTTGGCCCCTGCGTTCAACTAAGATTTTTGCCCCCATAAATAATTAAAAAAAAAACAAGAAAAACAACATAAATTAAAGAATATGCAGTATTATGTCAAGAATTGTAAATATATATGATTCTCACATTGCATTTACAAAAGTAGAAATTAAAAAAATAGTAACTTGTGGAGGTGCATTGGCTCAGTGACTTTTAAACAGCATGAACTACCCTGAGCTTATCAGGCGATACCAAACCGGAATTTTTTTCATCAACTATCTTCAGATCTCTTACCTGACATCCCCAAAAACAAACAGCTATCTTGACTTGCACCCATAAAGGGAGGGAGAATTATCAAATTTATCTAACTTGCAGAGGCCTTTGAGATGACAATCATAAAAGAATTCATTTATAAATTTAAAGATCGGTTGAGCTTTACATACACAGCAACAAGTTAGCACAATATTCCTACATAGAGAGAGAGAGAGAGAGAGAGACAGCCAACAAAAATGTTTGCTAAACGTTCAGTTGGCAATGTGAACCCAAAAAAAGAAAAAAAGCTGTGAGCACCAGAATTATCTTATGGCCTGTAACAACTCTTCTGCCTTCTGGAGGTCCACATCAGCGTCATCAAAAGCAATGGTCATCATCTGCATGTACATATTGGCTACTAAACACAATTGGGGCAACCAATGGACAAATCCAAATCCAATCAACACAATTGAAATTTTAGCAGAAAAGAAATACAACTCTACCTTCAGGGCTGAATTAATTTGCCTCGTCATTGCCCTTGTACAAGCTTGCCTCTCAGCAGCCCTGATCATGTCCTCAATAACCTGCTTGTAAGTTTACTGTTTAGACAACCCAAGTGGCATCCTTAATGCATCATCCAAACTTTGAGATAATAGAAGAGAATGATATCAAAGATTTTATTCATCATTACCCTTGACGCCAATTTACCAACCCTCACATTCGTCCTTATGAGTTCAAGCAAGACTTGTACATGCTGCACATAAACTTTGATTAGCTAACAGACCAACGTTTCAAGGTTTGATATGTTTCAGGGTTAATAACTGCCCAATCACTAGTCATTCTAAGCCACCAAGTCAAAAACAAGGATTGAGGCAAATTAGGTGTATGAGCTCAAGTTGAAATTCCTGTGCACATACAATAGGGGAAAAAAATCAGATGAAACAAAAATATTCTCGAGTTTCAAGACGGAAGATGGAGGCATTGTTTTTTTTTTTTTATCATAAATGGAGGCATCGTTTAAGTTCTGCAAATAAAACCAAATGCTATAATCTAGATTTACTCAGTCTACATCTTAACTGAACCCCAAAGAACAGCATTTTTGTTTTTTTAAGTTCAAGGCACTAACCTAGAGGGCAAAGGTGATTACTGGTAAATGAGAACTATCTATCAGCGATTCAGTATTATGATTACTGGTGAATGAAAACTACCTATTGCAACGAAATGCAATTACTATTGTACAAAAACAAAAATCAATAGGTACCTGGAGTGGAAAAATACCTTCAAATGTAAATTGCAAGCAATCACATTTCCAGCACGCGCACATCTTATTAGCAAACCATTACTCTGCCAGAATGACCCATCAATTCCAGCTATCATCACATTACTAAATTCCACAGCTTTTAAGATGTCTGTGTCATTTGCAAGCTCCTTGAACAGTTTGCAGCTGTAAATAAAAGTTGCACAAGTCAATAGGGACACCAAATGCATGCAAACATATCTCTGAATGATGAAGTATATAAGAAGCATAAGCTTTTAACGAAGATATGGTACAAAAGACCACAAGGCATTACCATCATCATAACCCAGAAGAGAACTCTGAGCAAATTAAGACCAAACCACATCAAATTCAAGGTTTTGAATATTTGACCTTAAAGCCAACAGGACTTGAACAAGATTGAGTTCTGTCGTGATTAGCAATTTCGTATCATTATCTCTGAACACATATTATAGGAGGGAAATGAACATAAAATCTCTCCCTCTCCCTCTCCCTCTCTCTCTAGGGAATTGCAAACTGAGCAGCCGTGCACCATTTACAATGCAATTTATTTTCCAAGTAGCAAGTTATTTAGAGAAAAGAAAACTCTTGCTTATATCTTACATGGATGTTGCTCTGGCAAAAGTGGCTGCCCCATCAGCTGATTTAGCTGCAAAAATAATGATAACTTTCAAAACATCGGAGTTCAAATCAGATATGCTTCTTCGCCTCCGCTTCATAATTTCTGCAATCAATATGGACGATTAGCTTATGACCCTAAATCCACAGAGATCCATAAAACCAAAAAATGACAATCAACACTACTCCTTCACAATTGATTCCGCTGTTGCAATTCCTGGATTCCACAAGCATCATAGTGGAAAACAAAGGGTAATGCTGAATATCTCTTGCAACATAAAGCAGCAAGGCAACATACCATCCTCAAGTACAAACATAGCAACAGTTTTTTAGGCTTGATCGTATTATAAATTTCTGGAGTAATAACACCCACTTTAGTCCCCATTAATTGAGGTCTGGGAGGGGTAGATTGGGTACAGATCAAAACTCTGGCAATATGTCATATTTTTCTGCATGTAGTTGAAAACAAATAAAAAAGAGAGAAAAAGAAAGAGCAGAGGAAAAGGAAATAAGAATAAAGCTGTGCTGTTGTGAGTAGGGTGGAAAATTTGCTGCACTAGCATTACTAAAATAAGGCACCTTAAGGTCTAAAGAGGAATTTTTCAAAGGGAACTTTGGTTGCAATTTGATCTCCCTCTATGCATGGATTGTTCTAACTAGATTCTTATCGAGAATTACAGAAGAGATTCACTGATGATAAAGCTCTCTTCAATTGCTTTGCTTGCATGCAAAAGTTATAATATCAAAACTCTTCTTGGTTGAATTAGAACAATTTTCAACTTGAATCCTGTCCCTATGAAACCATACCCTGTCTGTATCTACCATCCAATACAACAGAGAATGTTGCTACAAAATATTCTCAACTAGAAGGATTTTTCTTGAGTCTGGCCACCCAGCAAAAAAATTTTACAAGCACCTTATTAGTTAAAAATATAGGATCGCAGTATGCTAGAATTCAAATGATGATATGAACTTAAGACAGTGATTGAGAGGCAGCAAGATATGACTAAAAATTCAAGAGGTTGATGACCCATGTTTTCACCAAAAACATGGGCTTGAAATAGAACACTTCAATGGAAAACTTTTAACTCCCTTTTTTGTAATCAGCTACTTCGTAAGAGAATGGCAGTCAACAAATTACATGAGACATTTTTTCCTGGTTTCTAGACAACTAAATAGGATTAGAGTTTCCCTAAATCATTTTCCAATAATGCTACAAGTTAAAGAGAGGAACACCTGATTCATTCCATTGGCCTGAAAAAGGGTCGCAACTCACAAAAATACCCAAATGCTCTATGTTCAACAAAGAGCTAATTAGTGGAATCATATAGGCCATTGATAGTATGCCCACACCAAACTTCCACAAATAGGCTGCCACCATTAAGGAATACAGTCCACACAGTCATGTCCCGGGGCAATGTACAATTACGATGGGAAGCATTCCAACTTCATTCCTCTGTGGCTTTTGGGATCAAATCATGAACACTCACCCCCCCCCCCCCCCCCCCCACCCCCAAAAAAAAACACAAAACAAAAAAAAAACCTCCCCCCTTCTTCAAGGTCCAACTTTTTGAGGCTTTTGTGTGACCCCAAAAAATTTAAGACTACGGCATGTACATCACATTGCATAAATTCCCCACAAACCATTGTCTGTGTAATCATAAAGTCGACAACAATTAAATCCCTTGGGCAAAAAACAAATGACTTTCATGCCACATAACTAGGGTTTAAAGGGACCAAATAGGATTGTTTAACCCATAGAATAACAGACTCTCAGAGTATGATTTGAACATTTTTTAGGTCAGATTGGATGAATGATCAGCAAGGACATAAGAGTGTATAACTTCCCGGATGCATCTTTCAATTGTTGAATAATGAAAGTCATTTTTACCCAAAAAAATGGGGGAAAAAATCATCAAAAGAAAAAACATTAAAAACCCAACTGGGGTTCGAAGATTTGGAACATGGGTTCTTGATCTTAGAACATGGCAGATATGGCGTACCTGTCCTGGCTTGTGTATCAGATGCTAGCGTTCAGAACTACTGTTGGCCCCCAACTCTGTTTCGCTCACTTTTTCTTTCATCTAGGATGTGTTTCATTTTATAGTTCATACGCTAAGTAGTGTCACATGTTGTGCACGTGACAGCATTTGGTACTTCTACAATTAGATTTCGATTTGCCCCCACAATTATTTTTTTTTATTCTTTCCCCCCCCCCCACCCCCCCCCCCCCCCCCCCCCCCCCCCCACACAGTTATACTTAAAGATGGCAGTGGAACGGTAAAAATAGGTACTCGTTTAAATCTGTTTTGTTTAAATCGAAAATAGATTATACGTACTGGACGGTGAATATATATGAAAATACCTATATAAATCAATACAAGAATAAAAATGGAAATGGACTTACCCTTATCCCCACCCTATCCCACCCCGTCCCGCCCCGTCCTCGTTATGCCCATCAAATATATTAAATATATAGATATATATGAAGGATGTTACTGCTACACTTAATATCTTATGAACTTTTATTCCAGCAGGAAGACTGCCTCTAAAACAAGAGGAATACAGTTGGTACTAGACTGCTAGCGGAAGGAAACCATCCTATTTATCTCACTTATCTTTGTATAATTGACAGGTGAAATACCTTATATACCCTGTCCAATACTTTCAGTACCATGAACACAGGAACAAAACAGTAAATTGACCATTTGAATATAATGTGGGACCCTCCAAGCCATTTGAAACGTCCCATTTTCTTTTTTTCTTGCCCAACGTCCCTAATATTATTGGGATATAATTTAGAGATATAATGAGTTGTTACCAATAAAATAACAGTAAATTGTATTTAATGATGGATCTCATTGTAGTATTAAATGAATTTATTATTTGTGTTATGTTGGAATATTTTACACTACATGTGTCAGATTATGTTAAATTATTTAAATTGTTGAAAAATTTTTAAATATTGAATTTATTTAAAATTTTGAATTATGTTGGCTTGAATTTAGACTTGGGTGGGTACGGGGGAAGCGGGGACGGGGATTAAAAATTTACCCGTGGACAGGGATGGGGATAAAAATTACACTCATTAACAAAGGTGGACCGGAGATGGACGAAGGTTTTTTAAGCAAGTACGGGAATAAAGATTATACCTCCTCCCACACTTCGGTCCACTGACATTCCTAGTTATACTCGTAATTGATCATATCATGTTAGATTTGTATCATAACAAAGTTTAATGAGAAAATAGATCACAAACTCCATCGGTATTAATGTTTCGATCATTAGATCCGTGCTAACAACTTTACGATTAAAAAGACAATAACTGATAAATAAACAAAAATATCCTTAAAAACGCAATTTAACCATCCTTAAAGAATCGACTTTGACGAAAAAGAATCCACCAAGGATTTTGAAGCTCAAGAACAATGGAGATTTCGAATCAATTCACACTCTATTTACTTATCAACAAGTAATTTAAGACAGAGGAATTTCAGAAGCGTTCTTTATGCAAAGCTTATTCTTTTCTTATTTTGAATTATTCAATAGATATGTATTGGTCTGTTTTAATTGAATTATTTTATGTGACTTATATAGTTATTTCCTACTTTTTTATACTTAATTTAAATTAAACTTTTCACTATCTTTATTAATTATTTTGTACTAAACATTTTTTAAATTTCTATTATAGAAATTTAATAAATTATTTTCTAATAACATTACTATGTGATGGGAGTGAGTATGGAAGTAAGTAAAAAGATTTTAAAAATCTCGTGTATTGTGTAAGGTGATCACTAGTAATCATGTATAGTTGTATTTAGATTAATTTATATCGACATATTTATTAAGTGTGTTTGATAAATAAATCTATATATAACTCATTGAAATTGTGAGGATCACTTCATAAATTTTGTATCAAACTTTTACAATAAATAGGGGCAAAACTAAAATCTTATAATGTGAGGAGACCTTCTCTTTCGTTTTTTGAGTTGGGCAAAATATTATATTTGCCCTGATTTGTCATGAAAAATGAGACAGAAGTCGACGATTGAAACTATATGAAACTAAGTATAATAGTTTATGATGGGACTTTTCTGAAATACCCTATGATGAAAACACGTGTCCTCGATTTTACTAAAACACTTGCTAAGATCAAGCACCATCGGCGCACAAGGTCCTCTCCCCCGAGGTACTCGTCATGTAGGATCATACATTCAGTGGCCTCGGTCTGATATGTACCTCGGTCGGCATACCTCCCTCGGTCCCCGAAATGAGTCTTTCCTCAGTGCCGAGAGGTACCCCCATCCTGGACGCTTCCTCTACTCCAGGATAAGCTATTGACGTACAGGTCATTAGCCTAGGCTAGACTAGGCTATTCATCATGACCTCATCTTACACAAGTAATGTCAGAACGTACTGAAATACAGAGGTCACAGCCAATAGGGGATGGACGCGTGGCATATGATATCACATCAAAGACAGACAAACCACATGCCGTTACTGACACGCGACTTGGGAAAGCAAACAATTAATTGCACCATTCCCTTGATGAGACCGCATTCAATGCGGTAAGGCTCGGAAATGAAAGGCAACAAATGCTCCTATTACAGAGCATTTATTGCATCCTCCCCGAGAGGAGCACATTGTACCGTCGGCATCCCGACGATCCGACATTGATTGCTCTAGACCCCGAGCAGTTAATTAGAGAAGACATTCTTCATCAGAATCAATGCACACGCTACCTGAGCCTAATGATCACCTACTGACGACACTGACAGCAATCATGAGCTTTTAAGGTATAAATACTCCTTGCAAAAGGCAAAGCGGATATGCAACAACAAACTCTCTACGACAACACATTTTTCTCAGTGTTTTCTCCTTCCTCTCTCTCACTCAAAGACTGACTAGACCGTCGGATGGGATACGCCGGAAAACACTCCGGCGCCCTTCTAACTTGTTCTTCTTTGTTCCAGGAACCCCTTTCAGCCTCACAGGATCGTTCTTCCTTTCCCAGGGTCTCCCGTTGCCGTTCCAGGTTACCACCGTACCTTGCAGGCTGTCCCAAGCAGTGTGTTTGGTCACTCAACCGGCTCACTCGAGTTCACCAGGGGAGAGATCTGTTCCTGTTTTTTTATATTGTGCAGGATCTTGCACGCACAATCTGGCGCCGTCTGTGGGAAACGACTATTTTTCCTAGTTTTTTTCTCTATAAAGAACAGTGATCATGGTGAACACTCGACAAAAAGGGAAAGGACCCCACCAAAGGAGTCTCGAGTTACAAGCTCCCTGTCATCACGGAGGGAGGGATCACACCAATACGAATAAAAGTGCCTCTACTCGATCGAGAGGGGTTACCCCTCAAACCAGTATGGGGATCAGGTCATCAGCCCCCTTGGCTCGTCAGCTGGCGGAGGTGATTGAAGAAAAATTGGCGATAGATTACGTCAGCTGGAGAAGGATAATGTAAATGTCCTTAGCCGGCTCGACGAGTTTGCCGCCTCAGGCGGAGGGTCGAGGGATTCATTCCTTTCCCGTGGACTTCCCGCCCGGGAGGCGGAAACGAAGGATCTAAGAAACCACCTAGACCACAAAGCAGAAAGCTCTAGGGCCCCAAAGCGACCCAGAGCCGGCGAACATCATCATGACAACCATTCCAGGAAAGCAAGGTCATTGGCCCTGGACGACCTCCGGCAAGGTTTGTCTAGACGGAGGAAGGGAGATGAATCCGAGGAGGAGGACTCAACCCAATCCACACGACGCCCAGGAAATGAGGGGCTTACCAATGAACTCAGGGACTTCAGAAGGCATCCCATCAGGGAAGAAGTTGATCTCAGAGCCCGATTAGACTCCAGGAGAAAGGGTAAGACTGTCCAGGATGAGGCCGAGGACGAAGTCATACAAACACCCTTTACGAGGGAAATCAGTGAGATGGAGGTCTCAAGAAAGTTCGTCGTGCCGCAGTTCAAAACCTATGACGGGCGGTCCGACCCCGAAGCCCACATCAGGCAATACAAGCAGATGATGTCCCTCTATCATTCGGACCAACGGTTTCTATGCCGAGTGTTCTCTATGAGCTTGGGGGACTCTGCGATGAAATGGTTCGAGGCGCTTCACCCAAACAGTATTGGGTCCTGGAAGGAATTGACTAGGCAGTTCCTGGCTCGATTCATTATGGGAAGTAAGCGCCCCAAAGATATTGGATCCTTGTTGACCCTCAGACGGAGGGAATCCAAGACTCTTCGCCAGTACGCCATCCGATACTGGGAAGAGGTCAATAAGGTAGAAGGCTGCTCGGAGGCCATGGCAACAGCATCTTTCCGGCTCGGCTTGGCGAGGGACACGGACCTGTACCGATCCCTGACCAAGAAGACTCCCTCGGATATGGGGGAACTGATGGCCCGGATCAACAAGTACTCGAGGGTTGAGGACGAGATGGGAAGCAACAAAGGCCGAGCCCTCCAGTCTAAGAGAAAGGAGAAGGAGCGCGAAGATATTCCCCGAAAGGGATTGCTACCCCATCCAGGGGGTTCGTCCAGGGGAGTTCACACTGTTTTCAAGGAGCCCATCTTCAAGTTACTCCATAAAATCAAGCACGAGCCGTTCTTCAAATGGCCGCCCAGGATGCAGGGCGACCCCTCCACCCGTGATCAAAAGGTTAGGTGTTCCTATCACCGGGATGTCGGGCATCGCACCGAAAGCTGTAGGGTGTTCAAATCGTTCTTGGAAAGCCTGGTCCGAGACGGACATTTGAAAGAGTACATAGAGCCCAGGCCAGAAGAGAGACGAGCCCTTGCCCCGACCGAGGAACCGGACAACGTCATAGACGTCATTCATATATATCCCCTGGAGCGCCTCCACGTCCAAGGAGCTCGAGTCCGACCTCAAGAGGGTAGCTTTTACAAGAAAGGTGGCCGAGGGTGATGTGAGGCCATCAAGTAAAAGGTCCAGGATGGGTGAGCTTGGCATTACGTTCTCCGACGCGGATTTGACAGGCGTGGTGATTCCTCATAACGACGCCCTTGTCTTGACCCTGAGGATAGGGAAATTCGATGTCAAAAAGATTTTGA